TTCTTCTTCTTCTTCTTTTTTTTTTTTTTTTGACTCTGACAGATTGACTTAACATATCAAAACCAGAATGGTCATTTTTATGTTTTCCATATGGTGGGACACTTGGTATTCTCATCCTTTGGATCATCTTTTCCTCTTACAGGAACAAAAAAGATAGTTTTTAAAAAATCAAGTGTTTTCACAGTAGTCCCAAAAAGCATTTAAGTTAAAATGCTTGATAATTAATTCTCAAAACATGTGGAATGAATTAAAAACTACATAGAGTTATTTTACAGTGTGTTCTTTGACTACTAACATGTCAGACACTGCAAAAAACTGCTTCCTCGAAGAAATAAATAAAGGGAAGAAAGGTGTGCATTCCCCAAAGTACTAGTGATTTGAATTAATATTAAAGATAATGTTAAAGATAAAAGAGTGAAGTTTGGCAGTAAAGAAAATGTGTTCAATTGTGCAAAGCATTAATAGGATCATAACAGGATCCTCAGTGAAAAGAACAGTAGTTAGTAATATCTGGGCTAAACATTTAATAAAAGCTTAAAGAAGAGTAGATAAAATGCTCTCATTTTCTATTAAAGGCATGCAAATCAATCGGATCTGTATCTTTTTGATCAATTGAAAAACCTATATCATTAATGACTATTCAAAATGAATAATGACAGTATTGGTAAAATGACTGATCGATGTGTCTAAAGTATGTTTACCCCAATTATTCACAATTATTTTAAAACATCAAAAGAGGACAAACATAATTACACTGTATTTTGTCATTACTTTGATACATTTACCAACTATTTTATTTTTGAAACAAAAGATGTTAAATGCCTGGAAAAAAAAGACCACTTCAAACAGTAATCAAAAACTATTCTTATTATGACAGGTCTATTGTAAAGTACTTGGGAATACTGGAGGTGAGAGCGCTAGAGCAGAAACCATGACTAATTATATCGCTCACTGTCAGCAGTGTTACTTAAGGAGAACTGCTAATTAAGATGAGAGAACTGACAAGAGCAGCATTCTTCCACTAGTATAATTTTCCTTGCAAAGCCATTCTGAAAGGAAGATCAAAACTGTCGAAGCTGAACCGTTTTAAAATCAAACTTACCTTTTCCATATAAGATTTAAAATCAATACAAATAAATTAATCTTCAAAAGATTATTGCTTTAGGTAAATAGCAGTTAGCAAAACCATCATAGCACATTTTTAGCATTCTACTTGGAAAACAAGGATTGAGCTACTGTAAGACGAGTGATCAGAGGAGGTGCCATTTGAAGAGTCCTGGATAAAGAGAGCAGATGATTCGAAGGAAGGAACAAGTGGGCTGTGAAGTGAGAACACGGCTGGGATATTTGAAAACAGCAGGAAGACTGGTGAGGCTGAACCAGAGGGAGAAAGAGGTAGATTAGCACCAAGAGGTAAGCAAGGACCAGACTGGCAGGGCCCTGCAGGCCACAGGCAGGAGCTGGGATTTTGTTCTTAGCGTCAGGAAAAGCTATTGGAGCTTTACACAAGGACATAATATGATCTGAATTACTGTTTTAGGAACATGAGTCTGCCTACCTTGTGGAGGCCGGACTGGGGAATAACGGGGGAGGAGGAGGCCTAAGAAGGCTGGACGCAAGTGAACCCTTTCAGTGCCCTTGTGCCACAGGTAAGTGACATTCTTACTTTAGTCTTACAGATGGGAAAGAGGAGGCAACACACGACAACCTAAGTATCATACAATGAAAACGAAGCCAGAACTCTGTCTAGCAGAGTCGTGCAGAGTTTTGCACCAAGGCTGTCCTCCAGGGAACGTCTAGGTCTCTGTGCCCGGGGATCTTCAGCTGGGGGAGGGAGGGGATCAATGACAGCATTTCCAAAGAAAACAGAGTACATTTATGGAATTCTCTGACTTTCAGAATCAGAAACAAGAGTAACCAGACGAGCACTTTCTACCTGGGCTGAGGCTTTACACTTAGTACAGCTCCTTACCCATTGCGACTTACCTTGACTGAATAAGCCAGTGAGATAGTGACGGCAAGTGGAAGACCTTCTGGCACGGCTACGACTAAAACTGTAACTCCAATAATGAAGAACTTCACAAAATATTGTATGTAAATCGGTGTGCACTCAGCAAGCCACGGTCTCTTCTGAACCCAGAATGTATCAATTACAAAATATAATACTAGGATGATAACTGTGATGGCAGACATCAACAAACCTTTCAGTATATTAAAGAAAGAAAGAAAAAGGTAATTATTTAAACATTCCAGACAGTACCCATTGTCAGTTACATACTGGCCACTGGAAGAATCGTAACTGGTTTCGTAGTATTTATTTTAATTTCTGTGAGAAACTGTTAACCTCCCTTTTGGTGCCTAACTCATCACTTGACACTGTCATACTTAATTTCTGCTTTCAAGTAGAGCCCCAACCCCAGGAGACCTGGGAGCAAAGCATTTACGATTCTTTCCTAGGCTTAATTGTACCTTCAGTCTTCGATGAAGGCTGAGACAAAATAACAGGCAATGACAAGGAAATACCAAAAGTTTACCATAAGCTAGCATTTTACATATCGGCAATTTGCCTGCTGCTAAGGAGAATCCAAATAGAANACCTGTTGGCAGCTCAGTGGCTGCTCAGCTCGGGCTGGACTCGAACCGCTGTTGCTCAGAGCTCAAACTCTTGAGCAAGCTCTTAACCAACTGAGCCACTCGGCCGGCCCTTAAATGTCTTTTTTAAAGTCTTCCACTTCTCTACTTAAAGAAACCAAAATAATTTCAATACCTGTAACAGCACATTAATCTTAGGGAAATTATAAACATGTAATGTCAAAATTGAAGCTACTGGTCTGTACAAGGGCAGTAAAAAAGAAAGACTACCATTCAAAATGACAGGAAATATTTAAATATGACACTGCAGCAGCATAAATATAATAAAACCTCACTCTGACATAAAAGAAAAATTCTCAAGATCTAGTTTTAATGCTTCACTATTTTAAAACCTAATCTGTAACTCTTTCATTGCATTTGAATCTACTGTCTACAATGCAGTTATGAAGATACAAACTTCAGTTTTTCTTCACAGGAGGTTTATTTTTCATGATCCTATATAACAATGAAATCAACATGGCTAAAAACAAACATTAAGGTTTTACTTTATTAAATCTACCAGACTGAATGTAATGGGCTTATTTTCCCTCTAGCAAAATAATAAGACATAAAAGAAACGAGTATGAAAATGGCAGAATACCATGGGCAAATATTTGGATACCATTAAAATATACTAAAAAGCTCTGAGGTCCTATCAAACGCCTAATGGTCACAAAAAATAAGAAAACAGCAACAATAACAACATAGTAGGTATTCCATAAAGCATATACTATAGTAATTTATTCATCTAAGCATTTTACTCTTACTTTTTCAGAACTATCTCAGATGCACCCTTGCTGAATATGCGATAACTTCCATCTGAATTTTTCAGGACCGTACTCATGGACTTCCTAACAGAATTGAAGGTGTAGACTTTGTACAGTGCTTCTTCTGGTATTTCATTTCTAACATCCTGATAATCCCGTTTTAAATCCAAAAGAAGTCCCAACAAGGCACATTCAGTTTTATTACCAACATGACGAGGTAATCCACCCTCTTTCTCTGGGGGCTAGAAGAGAAAAAGGTTTAGAAGATAGTATCACCTTGTTTCTCTACGACAGTTTCATTGACAATGTAAAACAGAATGTGACATTCTAAAGCAAAATTACAAAGGAAATTTCTACTAGTATCAGCAGTTAAGAGGGGCACAGAAAGGTGAGGCAGAAAGGTGCCCTGGGACAAGAATGACATGGATTCCAATCTCAGCCCTGCCAGTTACTAGCGGTGTGAACTTTTGGCAAGTTACCCAGCTGCTGTGGTCCTTGGCTTGAGCATCTGAAAAACAGGAGCACTTATGACTCAAGAATTAAGTAAGACATGGAAAGTTTAAAGCTGGTTCCTGGTACCTAGCGGGACTTAAAACATTTTAATCCTTCTTTTTCTCTTCCTGTTTTCACTGAATATTTATAGCAAATAATTCAAAATTAAATCTAGTTTACAAATTTTTATGGCTTCAAATAAAAGTACATGCATTGTGGCCTTAAATATATATAAAAGCTTTCCCCCCCCCCATAAGTATCACCTCATATAATCATCACAATGGTAGAAGGGCAGATGCGACCATCTTTACCTAACAGTTAAACAAGGTAAAGCTCGTACTTTCAGCTAGTAAAAGGCAAGGCTAGATCTAGAACCAAGATTCCATAGCTTTCCAGTCTAATAATCCAATCCATGCATATTGTCAGCAAACAACTTGCAATATTAATTTTGTTCATGGTCTTCATCCATAAATCACTAGAACACATGACAAGTGAAACAATTTTATGCTTTATATTATAAACAAGACATTTAAAACATGCCAAGTTGGAAACATTTTATTCTAAGGTAGCACAAATCTAGAATTATTTTACTGAGTTAGTTCCAAAAGGTCTAAGGATCACCTTATAGGTAGGATCTACTGAGAAACCAGAAAGAACATATAGAAAGTACATATAAAACATCATTCTAATTTGAAATCTGGATTCAAAATTTTCTCTAAAAAATTGAGAGTTGACTTTCTACAACTTATTTATTTTTTTGGTCTACAAAAGTAAAATAGGCTGGTCTTTCATAAAATGAGCTTAATAAGAATTTAAAATTAAGAACTTGTTCTGGTTATAAGGCTTGAGAGTTCCTAAATACAGGAAATTTTAAAAATAGGAGAAAAATACAAATATACAGAATGTAAACGTTGAGCAACAGATCTTACTCGTAACAAATTTAGCAAAGAAACTTATATACATCATATGAATGTATGCCTTTTAAAAACAAAACAATTCAGTCCTTCAATTTATACATAGTGATGGTAGGTCTCAAGAGGTACATATAATCTGATCATTACAAATTTAGAAATCAATTTCTGTATATAAATTAATTATTAAAGACACCTTACCAGTATTTTTGATGTATAAGCACAATTCACAGAAATTCCTGTTACAAGATAGGACAAGATATTTGGTGGAATAGCTTCTGGTTCAGGAACCTTTTTATAATGTTTTTCATTTATGTAAGCTTGAACAACTGTCATTCTGTTCATTGTCAATGTTCCTGTTTTATCTGAACAAATGGCTGTAGCATTTCCCATGGTTTCACAAGCATCCAGATGCCTTACTAAGTTATTATCTTTCATCATTTTCTACAGTGACAAAAAAAAAATCTAGTTAAGCTACATATAACACCAATCACAGCATTACATTAAAATTATAAATTGCTTTAAAATCAGACCTAAAACTCCCAGCTGTATATAAATACACATTATAAAGCAATAATTTAATACTGGAAGAATTTTAATAGATTCAACCTATTCAAGTAAGTGAAAAAGAGTAGCTTTCTGTGGTTTCAATAATTTCACCACTGCATAACATAATCTAGTAAATGAACCCAGATACCTACACCCATGACCCATATGCAAATCACACTGACCATATGCCTCCAACAGCTTCTGGGAAGTATCTTCACATTATATGACAATCTGTACTCTTTAAATACAGAGGTACTTAATAACAGTGTAAGAGTACATTAACATTTAAGGATTAAGTCTTCTTATAAAGTGGAAAACAAAAAATATATCAATCACCAATGAAAAAATGGTGTGTATCAATTAAAACACAGAGCTTGTGGGATTTTATTCTTTTTTTTTTAAAACATTTTTATTGGTGAATAGGGGATGGGAGCTGTGCTGGGAAATTAGGGAAGGTGAACAGACAAGTTGCTGTCCTTTTGTTCTTCAGTCTAGTTGTGGAGGACGTTGCTTCACTGGCCCAAGTTGGCATCATCACTGCGCTCTTCTC